ATTAATTTGAATTCATTTTCAAGATTAAAATAAACCTTTCACTCACCTTCATTTCTGTTCTGTGGCTGCAGCGGGGGTCGGTTTTCAGGGACAGGAGCTGACTGTGGGCCTTTACTTTGCCCTGTAAGAAAGACCTGACATTAGTGTTACCCTGCAGTAACAGTATGACCCATTATGTGTGACTAATGCATCTCTAAATTAGTCCCACTTCATAAGCGTATTCACTGAGCACTGCTGTAATATCAATGAAGTATATTTCAAAGACTTACCCTCAGTGTAAGGAGTAGGGTCTCCTATTCTACCGGCAACATCTTTTGCCGGCTTAATGACATCAATTTCCAAAATGATTACTACTCGTCTGTAATGAGACATGTCCATTAACAACAGAAAACAGCCCTCTGCTCCGTATTTATTCATATTTAAGTGTTTTTAAGGCCTGCTTGCTTCCATTAAGTCGAGAACGTTTAAAAAAAAAAAAAAAAGAAATGTGCAGAAAATTTGTATACCGTCCATCCTTCAGTATATTGGTCACGTGTCTCTTCAGATTACAGATGCAGTTTGGGGCCAGTATGTTTTCCTCAGCCATATGGTTCAGCTGGGTGGAGAGCATGAATGCTGCAGATGGTTTAAGAGAGGAAAGTCAGACAAGAGTGACCCAGGTTCCCCCTACTTAAGAGCCTCTTGAGAGCAATAGCTTCGTCTTTAACCCCATGCAAGTAGTCAATTTAGTAGAACATCTTTTAAAAAAATCCAGTTAAAATGGAATTTCATGTAAGAGATTTGTCAGAGAAAACTCGTGACTCTCAATAATTTAGAACAGATGGTTAAAATGGGTACATGAACATGTTTAAAACTTCAATGCAAAATACATCAGTGAATGAACTTAATAAAAACCTCACATGACAGAGTGTGCCTTCCATCACTCATCATCACCCGAAAGCGAGAAGGACCATTTCCTCCATCAAGCTTGCGAATATTCTGAAAAACAATATATGAATAAAACTGTTCAATAAATTTAAAAAAAGACAAAAAAAAAGACAAAAAAAAACAACAACACATTTTCTGACCAATATTGTGTCCCTTATGTGAACTTACACATTCTGTGATTGCATTATTTAAAGTATAGAGGATATTTAGTTATTGCCTATGGGCCTGTACTCCTTATTCCCAGCTGCTTTCACAGTGAGATGGATTCAGTAAGGATGATTTTCCTGTAGTCTTTCCTCTTAAGTAAAGTCACTGCTCAGAGAGAGGTTTTAACTAAGAAACTGTAGCCTTTTGAAGTCTTATAGTGATTTGTCAGACCTGCCCCTTAAGAGGGGTCAGTCCCTAAAAAAATTTAACCAAATCTTTTACCATTTTTAAACATGTTTGAGCCCTCATAACATAACCACAGGAAAGTATGTGTTCAGGGGGAACTGTCAAGGGCCATCAAAACAAGTAATAAGATATGAACTGAAATACCTCAGTTGGATATTTAGATTTTTATAAATTCAGTAAAAAGGACTGCCACAAGTTGAACGTGGAATGAATCGACAAACTCCCAACAGAGCATCCAACCGTGTTACTTGATTATTTACTTTTTCAGTAAATAATCGGAAAACCGACAGAAAATCCAGTGTCCCATTGTTTGTTTGTGCTCCTGTCACAGGCAATAACAGTCGAACCGACAGCAGTTTTTAATAGAGCTTTTCAGCCTTGTACATATATTTAGCTACTAAGTTAAGAGGGCTCAAAACTGATGCAAAATCTCGACCCCACACACTACACATACTTTCAGGGACAGAAACCAGCTTTAACCCTTAGATGCACATGTGGGGTCAAAAATGACCCCAGGGGTTGTTTTTCTTCAACATCTTTAAAATGCAAAGTTGTAATATATTCATATTCCAGGTATTCCTCATAAAACATGTTTGTAACATGAGGCCACTTGCATTTTTATTTATTTTTTCATTAATTTTAGAAAAATGCAGTTTTTGTATCACTACCCCACTCTTCCACAAGCGGGGTCAAAAATGACCCCAAGCAGTTCCTGTGGCATCTTCTGTGAAACTTTCATTCTTAGCAACTCTGACTGACCCACTTACACTTCTGATGGATCAAGAATTAATTTTTACACAGTAACATACATGATTAATAGTCAGGGCTGCACATAAGTGGTCCGCAGGCGCGCATTCGCTGTCAAAATAAAAGTATTCCCGGAAATTCAGAGAATAGGCGCTTCTTTTGTTGTGGAGGAACACCAAAGTAATTGCCTACGGAGCTTGCTTTTTCGACATCTTTAAGAGCTCTGAACAAATGTCTGTCCTCCTCCAGAACATCTTATGTTCGCAAACGCACATTCCAACTTCTTATCTGGTTCTGCAAATGCGCACCTGCGGACCATTTATGTGCAGCCCTGTTTATAGTTTCCTGTGCATTTCAAACATTGTCCTTTCTGATGTTTTTTTTTTAATATTTAAAGTAGCATGGCTGCTATGAGGCCAGCTAGGATCCCTGTGGACCTACAAATGATCCAGGACGGATGGGATGAAGAGCCCATCAGAGGCACTGACTCAGAATCTGACATCTCAGATATAGAGGACCCAGACTACTGTCCCCCCCCCCACTTAACAAGGCCAGTCAGATACAGGAGCCCTCTGAAGAGCAAATGGATATTGAGTCTAACAGAATGAGCCCCTCTTACTGCTCTAGCCACAATATTCTGAATTAGTCGGCCAGGGCTTGCAGTTGGGTTTAGTACTGTCTCCCCAATAGATGCATGGAAGATGTTCATGTCTGATAATATAATAGAAGAGGTGCTGTCATACACAAACATGGAGGCACGAAGAGTAGCCACAGACAGGGAAAAGAGTGGAAAAATATAATCAAACATAAGCTCCGGCCTTCATTTGATTGACCATTTTTGCAGGAAGTGAGAAGAACTGGGATGTACCAGTCGGTGTGCTTTTTGGGAGTCCTCTGCATAATCCATTGTACAAGGCCACTATATCAATTCAAAGATTTAAAGATATTCGCCGTTTCTTGCACTTTGATGACAAGAGGACCAGAGCCTACCGACTGAAAACAAACCACATGGCAGCTTTCAGCTACATATGGGGCCTGTTCCTGGTCAACTGCAGGCAGAAATTTATTCTCAGTGATTGTGTTACAGTGGCTGAACAACTTGTGCCTTTCAGAGGGAAGGCCCAGCTTCTGCAGTATATGCCGAGCAAGCATACAAAAGTGATACAAAAACTGCAATTTCTTAAAATTAATGAAAAAATAAATAAAAATGTAAAGGGCCTCATGTCACAAACATGTTTTATGAGGAATACCTCAAATATGAAAATATTACAACTCTTCGTTTTAAAGATTTTGAAGAATAACAACAGAGTTTATAGCAAAATGCATTGTTTCTATTTGGGGTCATTTTTGACCCCACTCGTGGAAGAGTGTAGGTACTGGTAAGTTGTGCATCCAAGGGTTAAGTTAAAAACGTGCAGGCCTCCATTAAAAAAAAAAAAAAGTTAGGCGGGGACTACGGATTGATTTTTCATGGAATGACCTAGAACTAATCCAGCTTTGTTTTGCAGAATTCATCCCATCTCATTTAAATATATGTGGTTGTGTTGAGTAATATTAAATATACATTTTCAAAAAAATAAATAATTAAATAAGTTGCTACTCACCACCAACTGAAGCACTGCGTCGTTGACACCGGTGCCATTTGAAAGAGCCTATAAATACGTTCAGATAATAAATTCTACATTTAATATAACTATTGTCGAAAACAAAACCACCCTTTTCCACCTTGACTTTAACACATTTTGCTACAATCACAGTTTTTAGAAGACACAAACGTAAATAACCGCTAATATCAAATTAAGCTACCGTCGAACAACGTTCGCAGTTCTGATTACAGCGGATGCAAAAATATGCAAACAAACGTACGATAGCGAACAACTCCACCTAAACAAAGACACCATTAAGTAGACGGCGCCAATTTACATTGAGCTTCTACAGCTTGCAGTATTAAACGGCGTAATATTTATGCTGTAAAAATATACCATACCTCTATTGTTCCCTCCGAGAGTTTCGTCATGGCTGACAAAGGGTGATTTTAGCTACCACAACAAAAGAAAAATATCTGAAAGTTTTAACAAGACAGAACCTCAGTACTACTAGCACTGACAGTAAGCAACAAAATTATGACCGTGGCGCCAACAGCTTGTAACAACGCGCCAAGGCGCGTATGCGCTGCCACGACTTCCGTTTCCGTTTACAGATCTGCGTTCAGTTTAGCCTTTCTAAACATCGTGCATCTGCGTGTCTTGGTTATACTGAAAACTGATCAGAGATCAGCTTCGCTAAAGTCACCGCCAACAATGACGTGACGTCAGGCGGGTTTCATGGTGCCTTCCCATTTATAGGAAACTGGGATACTTCAGACTTTACCGTAACATTTTTTGTAAGATACAAAGAAATCCCTTAAGGAACATAGATTTGATATGTTAATATTTTTATTTGCCTTCAGATGTTAACTGAACATCTGCTTCTTTTCTTTGCATTTAGGAAGATCGTGTCCGTCAAGTCTTTTTCATAACAATCACAAAAAGAAAAATGGTGAGGTAGAAGATACCACTTCATTACCTGAAAAGAAGAGGCAAAGACAATTATCCACAGCAAGCAATTGCTGAGACAATATATGTAAGAATACTCCCTACCACTGTTTGCGTCATTACATTTTCCCAGTTTTAGAAATGCAACAACTTACAACAACCCTTTTCTTTTAAAGATATGTCATTTTGAAAACAGAATGAAGGTTTTCACCACAACTTCACCTACTTCTAAGCTGCATGGTGAAAAACAAGGATCTGAAAAAGTCAGCGTTTCGGTCTGTAGCCAGGGTCATCCACAGGCCGAAACGCGCTGGTCAAGTAATAAAGTTGTAGTCTTAGTGTAGCTGAAGCTTCGACCTGTTTTCACGATGTGTCACAATGAAACTCATAAGCATGACGTGTGATTCAAATCAGTTCAGTTTATTGAGTCATTACATCAAACCATCCAATACACATACTGATTCAGTAATAATCTGACACTGTAACCAATTTACTTTGTGTTGAGATCAAAATGTATGTGCCATCAAATTGAAATAGGCTCAGTATAAGCAACAATGACCATACTTTTTTTGTTTAATTATTATTTTTGACAAGGACATCTCACCTAATAGAAACTATATTATTTTAAAGGAATACTCAAGTTTTGGGCTCCCCATTTTGTTCACAGAATCAGTTTTCACAAATATTTTGATTGAGTTAACTAATAGTCTTTCCTGTACTGGTCTGAGTTTCTCTGGAAGAGCTGTAAAGGGTTTTAGTCCTTACTTAGGTGGGCCTCCAAATTGGGCCCCATCATTCTTGTCAATGGGAAATCCCACTTTATCCTTGCTTCCAAATTCCCCTTTCTGTAGGACAGGAGCTCCGGGATTGGGGTTGTTGATTACACCCATAAAAATCGGTATTTTAGTTACATCATGCATAAGTGCAAAGAAGAAGGGTTGGCTGAGATGGAAAACTGGATTGGATGCCCTTGAAATAACCACAGTAGTAGCTGCAGCTGCCTCTGCACCATCCTCATTTATCTCCATGCTGGACTTATGCATTACACTGGACACCAGCAGAGGGCCATCTGAAATCTCAGCCAAGTTGGGAGAAGAAAATATCTCACCAAGGCCTAACAAAGAGCACAGAGTATAAGGTCAGTTCATGGGTTAAATGTCGCTACCTTTATCTCACACAAAGTCCAGTAGTTTCATCAAGCAATAATGTAATGTATAAGTCGTGAATTATAAATGTAACACTAAGTTCACAAAAAACAGGTCTTACCCAATTTGATAAAGACATCTTTTAACTCTTGTCCATACTCTAGTTTGAATTTGGGGACTTTTACTTGAACTGCCCTCTCTTTGGGCAGTCGATTGTAAAGGTTAGAGACATCGATCTTTGCAGCAAGTGAAGAGATATTTGTCTGCAAAGACATAGGCACGACCACCAATAAACTCATAGACTTCCGGAATGGGAAGCTCGCTACCTGCACAAAGAAAAAGAATGGCGCTTTAGTAAAATGGAGGGTATCCAAGGAATTTAATTTTCTCTTCAAACATTTGAGGTTTGAAAATATTTTTGTTTTACCTGAGCCTCCAGTTCATGATCAATGAAGAAACTCAAGGGATGTTTGGCATCTTCCATTACCTCTACATCAACCATGTGCTGTTCATCGAGATAGAACACACCTCTGGAGGTAAAGCGGGGGTCAAATCGAGCTTTCCACTCTCCTGTGGGAGCAAAGGAGGGAGGATCTTTGTTTGAGATAGCAGCAAAATGTAAAACACTTCGGAACACAGTCGATTTAATTCGGGATTAGAGAGGAAACAGTATCTTACAAAATGGGCAGAATTTTACAAATACAGTGGCATTTAAAAATCTCACTCACCTTTGAAATGGACGGCATTAATGAGCACGAGAAGCAGATTGGGAGGTAAAGCAGAAAGGAAGTCAGCTATCTTTCCTTGAGTTGCGTTCTCTACCCATGTGTTTATTTGCTCCAGATTCTCCAAGATTGCTGGTTCCGAGCGATAAAAGCGATGAGACTCATTGACAAATACTTCCTTTGGCTTAAACCCTAAAAACATAAACATCCCGACTTTATTTCTCCTAAATACTCTCAGATCATCTTTAAGGTGTAACGAGAAAAATTGTTTTAAAATTTAAAGACACAATCTTCTCAGTCATAACCTTCACGCAGAAAGATACGTGTGGCAATGTGTAGATCACTGTTTTTTAGCTGCATCAAGATACTATGCAGAGACTGGTGGTAGCAGGGGAGAGTGTTTTCATGAAGATGATGCATCAGCAGTTCCCTCGTCTCATTTACAGCACCTGTAAAAAGAGAAAAAAAAGAGGGGTACAATTACTGGATGAGAAATATGTTCTCTAGACAACAATAAACTAGGGTAAGTTGCTGACACAATTCATCAGATGTGGTAACACCATATAAAAATAACAACTTGCTTAGATAAAATATGATGCAGTAAAAGCACATTAACAAGACATGCATACCTAAAGCCAGCTGGGAAAGGCCTAGAGATATGCTTAAAGGAGATATGATAATATTTGGCTGCTCTGGCGTCATCTCCAGGTTCTGCAGCAGCTGCACACCCATTTTCTGAATGGCAGCAGCAACAATTTCCTTGGAATGTGGGCTTCTGCCAAGAGACAGACAACCCCCATCATCTTCTTCTGTCGACGAGGCTCCAGTGGGCCCACTACTTGTTGTAGGTGGTTGATAGGATGTTGTAATTATAGAGGCTTCTGTAGTACCGGCGGATTCTGGCTGTGCTGTACTGCTGTGTCCTGTTTCCTATAGACACACATCAGAATTCCAAAGCTTATTATTTTCCAAGTTGTTAATTTAGGAGTCCAGAACCATGACCACGGAAAAACAAAAAGAAAGAAAAAAAAAAAACAGCAAAAGCGTTTTGACTCTAACCTCCTCTGGTTTTGTAAGAGGCACCAGCGAGACTGGTTGATTTTCTTCCACCTCAGCATTCTGTTGAGCACAAAGATAATATAGATTAACAATCGGCACAGGACGTAATCATCCAGTATAATCTTAACAGTGATTTTTTGAGATCTTTAAGAGGTTTACAGTGGCTCCTTGGCTACAGAGATAGATCAACAGGAGTGTCAGGCAGAGGTCCATTTCCTCACAATGCAACTGTGAAAGAGAAAATTAGGTTAACGGCAAAATTCTATATCCTGCTTAGATTTTATGGATCGACACAATTACCTTTCATGCTCACTGCAATTTAGCATGCTATGCGATAAAATTGAGTATGCCTCTGAAAGCACCATATTCATTCTTCCAGCTAATAGTTACAAGCTATTGAAAAAAGAAAGACATTAAGACACAACATTCCTCACCTTTATTTAGAATTACTTTGATGGATTGTCTGAAAGAATTGAGCACTTTCACTCTACTTAGTTGCGCTCACTTTCAAAGGAAATCCCCAGAAATGTGCCTAAAACACATGTGGATTTCAACCATAAATTGTGTACTTTCAAGTATTATTCAAGTTGCCAAAGCACATTATAATAGAGCGGATTAATCTCTAAATAATTATTTGCTTTACAAATATTTTGAAAACCATTTGTACTGTGGTATTTAAACATGGTATGGAAATCTAAGTCAAATGTCAAAAAGGCATTAACTCGGATTGCAACATTACCTCCCTTGCAGACCTTATACATGAAAAATGTTAAAACAGTGATATTTTGTGTAATCATTTAAGTCTTTAAAGTATTCAAATGTGCAGGAGTGTTTAAATATGTATGTCTTACCTTATATTTAAATTAGAAAAAAAACTTGCTGGCTTGTCCAAAAAAAGAGCAACTAAGTGCGGCGCATGTCAGGATTCCTGGGAGTAAGAGATTGGCATTTGCTCAGCAAACAGTTAAATATCAACTTAGATTGATTGGGGCCTCATTTAAGCCACTATTTGTTTGTAAATGTAGCTCCGGAAACTCTTGCAGGGTTAAATGTTGAAGCTAAACACAAGCAGCTATTTAGCACGTCAGTGGGGAGGTGATAATTTCATGACGCATTTAAATCCAAAGAAAACACGGCAACTTATTGCAAAGGTCTGATTAATCCAGCTTTGTGTCAGTAAACAAATACAAGTTGCTTATTTCAAAGTAATACATTTGATGTCAGAGAACACCCCCCACATTTCCCAGAAGCCCTGGATTTAATCCATGATTAACTTAAGATCTCAGGCAGCAAAACCAGAGGCTTCGGTTAACAAATCACTGTTTTGTGTTGTGACCAATAATACCCTTTAGATTCTCAAAGAAATATATATATATATAAAAAAAAAAAAAAAAACTCATCTGTTGGACTTGGTCACATTTTACCACTAAGCAAAAACGATATCTTTCAGATCACATGACTGCAGTCTGCAAACACAAAGAGGACTTTGTACAATCTGAGCTTTAGTGATTCAGCCAAGATCGAAGGACATGCTAGCAGTCAATGTATGTGAATCACAGAACAACTGGTACACACACAGAAAAACATTGGAGTAATTTTTATTAATCCAGTTAATAAATACGTTTTTCACTGACTTCTTGTAAAATGTTCGGAGACAGAATATCGATTGTAACCAATTAACAATGTGCAACTACAAACTTTAAAACAAAGTTGGTCATTTTAATGGTTGCGCTTTCACTCTGAATTTTCTAAAAAACAAAACTAAAACAAAAAATTCAAAACATGTAGTACACTTAACAATTTTGAACTTTAGGCAAATAATTAGAAAAGTAGGCAAAGAGCAGAGCTTTCATAGTTAAATGCTACTAAACTTTGAAAACTTGAGATTGGGCTAATTTTAAGGAGCAAAATTTCAACTGTATGTTAATTTGCATCACACCATGACTACATTATACAATACATTTATTGATCTGTAGCTTCTGTTGCCATCTCAGCAGTTTTCAAGCAGTTAAACATAATGGTTAAAATACAAAAGCAGTTTATCTTGGCATTGACTGTTCTGATGCTAGCTTTTAAAGTCAAAAATTAGAAGAAGCTGATTACAGAAGTCTCTGCAATAGTTGGCAAATCCACTTAAAGCAGCATCTGCCGGGTTCCGCTTCCAGTGTATTGTTGCTACAGGTTTTTGTGAAGTGTTAAATCAAGAATACCTAAACATTGTTTAGAAAATCCCAAAGCAACTTCAAGTAATTTATTAGTGGATAAAAAAAAAAAAAACATTCAATCTTTAAAATCTGAGTGAGACTCTAAATGTTACAATTCAGGCCATACTTGTGCAGTAGAATAAAGGCTGTGCATCAGTCACTAACTTTTTAATGTGACAACTTAAGTGTCTCCTCTCTGAGAAGATACACCAAGACTGTCATCACAACAGCGAGTGTACTTTTATTGTTTGTGATGTATACACAAACACTGAAATATCTAATGAAAAATGGAGCAACACTAACACAAACAAAGGATGTGATCTACAAATACTGCATAGTTTAATCAGTGCATTTGGATACATATTTGTTCTATCATGAGGGAAATAAAAGGTGAGGTCAATGTATTTTTGGTTTTGTTATGCATCTATTTGGAAAAGTGTAAACACTACATAAGACCTTCCTGAGCTTGTCTTCCAATTCATTCCTTTGAACAGAATAAGGAACCTAGTCAAAAGAATAAGTGACCTTGTCTATATGAGAATCTCCTCGTATATACATCTATAGGTTTAAAAGAACAAAATAATAAAGGAATTCAATATCAATGTACATGATGCATGTCAATAGCCTCAATGGCAATATGCAGTAGACATGAAGCTTATACAATGCCTCTACTTGTGCTGCCTCATTCAACCAACAGTTTAAAGGATATGACAACCTGCCCTATCAGTATAATTGACCAAAAGCACAGAAGGGACAGAGGAGCTCAGACACTTGGCATCTGGCATGAATAAGACACTTTGAAGGTCAATGCAGAGAGTGTTTAGTATAGCTTGTAACTATTGATTTAAGCCAATAACCTAATGGCACCGTTCTCAGAGCCCAGCAGCAGAAGCCTCTTGGTGGGCAGGACGGCAAGGCTGGTCAGAGTACCGCGGAAGTTCTCCGTGCTCAGTTTTGTGCTGCTAACGGGGCTCAGGGAGATATCAGCCATAGAGTACACTCCGATCTTATTAGCCACTGTTCCCGTTACAATCTCTGAACCGTAAAGGTCAAAGGCGTGGATGGGGTCGGATGGTGACTTGTACAGGCGAAGAGGCTTGTGTTCCAGATCTTTCCACACAGTCAGTGTGTAGTCAGTGGAGGAGCTGATAACAATATTTGCTTCTGCAGCCTGAAAAATAAAACAAGAAACAAGAATCAGTGATTGTGGATGTCGTGTCCCAGTAAATTAAAACAAAACAAAAATTAGGAAAAAAGACTAAAATGTCAAATACAGCAAAATCATTATAGACCTTGCAAATACTCTAAAATTTAAGGAATACAACAAAAGATGAGCTGAATAAACACAGAAACACAGACTCTTAGTAAATAAAATTAAATGGCAAAGGGGTTTCATTTGAAAATATCTTTAAAACAGAAACATTTCGCACATATTCAGACAGACCAAAAAACAAACAAACAAAAAAAAAAAAAACAGCCTTTAGCCTTGTTTATATTAAGTTTCTAAATAATCATTTACTATCAGTAACTACCATTGAAAAACAAACAAAAAAAACAAAATAAATAACAACCACTGAATAACATGTTCTGTATCCATAGATTCCTAACCTTCAGTTAGAAGCAAGGAAAATTAATATTTAAAGTACATTTTGGCTGCTGCAGGTAAGAAAAAAAAAAAAAAAAAAAAAAAAAAAAAAAAAAGGGGGGGGGGGGAGGTCCGAGTGATGTGTGCGCGCCAATGAGAAATCTCCGTGGTCTTTCTAATACCTAACCTGTGTCCATATTTGCCCAAACTTGTGAGTTTAAAACTGGGGCCCTTATCTCTGACCTAATTTGGGGTTAAATAAAGTTTGCACTATGTTAACAACATATTTGCTAGGGACAACTTTCACCATCTCTGTGCCCCTTAGTATCTCTGAATCACTACCTATGGGGAATACCAAAAAATAAAAAGACACTTGACTGACTGTTTTAATATTTATTTACCTGAACACTGAACAACACAGCTACACTTCCTGGCTTGAGTAAATTAGTTTAGGAATCCAACAGCAAAAAAGTCTGACCCCTTTTTTGGACAATCCTGGTGTCAGGCAATATCTGTAAATCTTAAATAAACGCTGGTAAATTATCACTACTTTATTACTACACTTATCAAACTAGAGGTTAGATGCACATACATAATAAAATGCATTTTTCAGTAATCAGAGGAGGAAAATGCGATGATGCTGCTATTATACCAAGTACATCAAAAACAGTTCAAGTAGGTAACAGAACAAAATTTTCCATTTTGTGTCTGATGTAATGTGGGTCACTCAGAGCGATGGAGTCTATGCAACTGACGAGCGATTAGCTGTGCACTGCGTGGGCTGTGTGGTCATCCAGAAGTTTCCACTGTTTACCAGAAAGCCCGATAGTGATTTTGTACAGCCCAGATTGAGCTGGTTGAAGTGTACAATGAAATGGTTACATTATACCAATAAATAACTGCAGGGGTCTTGGATTTTATATAATCCAATCATCTGACCCCATACTAACTGCTCCTGGTGACAAAATAAAAAGTTTGACCAAAGCAGAGACCAATATATCTAACAACCTCATGATTCCCATGCATCCAGCCCAAGTCTTCTGTAAACAACTTGACTGGTACTTGGTGTAACAAAGGCTACGTTCACACTGCAGGTCTTAATGCTCAAGTCCGATTTTTTGATCAAATCAGATTTTTTTTGTCTGGTTGTTCACATTACAAATAAAATGTGACAGCAAACACGCTCTAGTGTGAACGGTTCACGGCCCTCAAGGCAGCCCGCATGCGCAAAAGACATCACAGCTAGGTGACAGCTGGGTTTGTCGACCAAACTAATCATAAAACGAGCAGGTGACTTGACCACGTCCGCTTTGTTTGTTTACATCTTCAGCTTCTTTAAACTTGGCTCTGAGGCTCTTCACTTTCCTCTGACACTGTAGCCACGTTCGCCTGTGCCCTCCTTCAACCATTTCTTTGGCAATGCACTCGAACACAGCCTGGTCATGATACGACCCTTCAAGTTTAGCTTGAATGGAATTGTCACCCCATATGCTAATCAAGTCCAAAACCTCAGTTTCTGTCCACTGACTCCCTCTGTCTCTAGTTTCTGCCGCCATGCTTTATCGTTTGTCTTCTCCGGCGCTGATAATTGGCGTCTGTCTTGTGTCAGTGACGTGAAAGATGGATTTAATGCGACATGACCATTCAAACAGCAGTCGCTTTCTAAAACATCAGATATGTATCGGATTCAGATCCACATACGAAAATGACCCAGGTCTGAATTGAAAATATCGGATTTGTGCTGTTCACACTGTCACACCATGATCGGATATTAGGGGTGCAACGATACACAAAATTCACGGTTCGGTTCGATACTTTGGTGTCACGGTTCGATATTTTTTCGATACAAAAAAAATGTTCATGCCTTTTTAATTTGTCATTTATTAAAATTATAAATATATATTTTAACTCAAAAGTACAGTTTTTAAATTTAATGTTGCTGAAACAACAAAGTAATAAAAATAAATAAATCTATCTGATCGAGAAATCACTCATCTTTGGAAAAGAGTTTATTACAGAGAAATGGCTCTTTCCAAAATAAAAGCTATACTATACGCTTCTTCTGGGCTATATTCTCAGCAGCATATTAAACATATCAGGTCCCCATAAGGAGAATCATGTGCTAACGGCTGTCTAAATGACTCTGCTTCCACTTGTCTTTGCACTAGGATGATGTCAGCGTAAATGTGCAGTCATATTCGTTGTGTTCCCACTAGTGCTGTCAGCGTTAATCTGAAATGACGTTAACGCCACAACACGGCAAATCTCCGTTAACGAGCTACCGCGGATCGCCCCGTGCGTGGGGCTGGACGGCCAACACGTTAACGAGCTAACTGCGCTAACACACTAGTTCCCACCAATGTAATTGAGCATTGCGTGGCACATCCAACATACTG